CGCCTGGGCATCGATTGATCCCTCTTCCACATTACTTTGAGTAGCTCTAGGCCTCTTCCCTTTGTTCGACGGTGCGGTGGCCTACATGTTCAACAATTGAAATGATTATTTGTTACAAATTCATTATAAACATAGATAGTAATAGTAAAACATACCTTCGTCCTCTTTAAACTACACTCTAATGGTCCTTTCCTCCGAAGTTTCTTCGGTGCGCCCTTTCTATTAGAAGTTACTGGATCCAATATGTGTCCACCGTTGCTGTTAGGCTGGGAGTAGACAACACTTCCAAAACTTGACTTAGACTTCCGCAACTCTTTTATTTGCGATGTCATCCACTCCGTTATAGTGCGTGTCCATACTTCGTCATCTGTTGCTAGGTCCGCCACCTCTGAAAAAATCTGGCACATCTCGTCGTACCTCAATTGTCCAGGAATACTGACCAATCCATCATAATGTACTGCGATCCTCGAGTGTGCTCTACTAACATCTCGTCTCCACCTTCTTAATATGTACCTCTCAGGCATCGATGTTATGTCGTTACGAATCAAGATTGCAATAACATGCCTACAAATAATTCCCCAAAATTCAAATAGGTGGCAGCGACAAATCAATTCACATGTATCCCTCCGAAATGATACGCAAAAAGATTTTTTCTTGCGGTGCTCGTGAAGAACGACATCCTCATGAACCTCGTAAGTCGACCAATAATAGTCATTGGCATTTTTAGATACAACGTCGCAGTATACTTTCTCGGTGAATTCCTGCTGAACTTCTTTGAACTTTTCGATGGTATAAATCGCTTGAAATTGCTTTTCCATTTCGTATGTTGTCGCACACGGAACCAGCTGGGAATAGGACCTAAAATCTGCCTGGAACTCCTTCTCCACCTTATTTCTGAATGCTCTTTCATACTGCTTCACAAACTGCTTCAACGAGATTTTCGAATGCACATATCCATTGAAAAATGCATTCATGCTTTCACTTCGTTGTGTCGTGGACATGCCTGCCCAAAATGTGGTTTTCAAAAAACCAGGCACCCATTGACCTCTGTTCTCATATAATCCTGATAGCCAAGCATTGTCATGCAAGTCATACATATTGAGCATTAACCTCCAACCTCTTTCGAATTCTTGTACATTCTCCGCATCATATACCAGTCCATGTATAGCAAAAAATATCGAGCTCTTTTCAACGTGGTATCCAAACTTTTCTTGCAACTTTTTCATAATGTGCCACAGGCACCATCTGCTTCATGTTTGGAAGAGTAATCTGAATGGCATTTTGCATTGCCTGGTCCTGATCAGTAATGATGGCATTAGGAGCTTGACCATGCATTCACTCAAGCCAAGTTCTAAACAACCACACAAACGTCCCTGTGTCCTTGTTCGACAACAATCCACAGCCGAGCAGTGTGGATTGGCCATGGTGATTTATGCCAACGAAAGGGGCAAACAATATTTCGTACTTATTAGTGAGATAGGTAGTATCAAAAGTGACAACATCACCGAACTCCCTATAAGATTGCCTACATCTATTGTCTGCCCAAAAAATATTCTTTAGTCTGCAGTCATCATCTAAGTCCATACTAAAGTAAAACCTCGAGCACCGTGCCTGCATCTTTGAAAAGTACGCCTGTATTGGGAGGGCATCTCCTTCCCCAAGACGTAGTCGTCTAACCTGTTCAATGTAGTTCCGACAATCCTTCTCCACAAAAGTCGTGTTTTTATATCCACCAGCCTCAACAACTGCAGAATTATAACTCTTATGCAAGGGAATTCCTGCTATATCATTCACCTCAAGCTTTCGTTTCATACTTGCACTCAATTTTCTGCTGCATCGGTACAGCCTAGACTTTGATGGGCTTGTTTTGTGATTGTGGCTAAGGTACACTTTGTTAATCCTCCATATTCCCAGACTATTTAAAGATGCAAATATTATTGGTTTACAATCAGTTTGACATGTTGGTTGCGGTTTCAAGAAATCGTCTATAGCATAAGTTCTCCAACCTTCACGACTACATGTGAACGTCACATATCTCATAACTCAATCTTCCCCGTTTTTTGAATTCCTTTTTCACACCGAAAAGCCAATGGCGTAAGCAATTTTTTTGTAGAAATCAAACATTTCCTTCTCATCACTAAACGTCATACCCACCTTAGGCACTAATGCCACATCTTCTCCTACATTTTCATTGTCCACCATATTCAAATTCTCCATAGCGTTCTCGTTATGAGATTGTAGCAACAAATCAGGATTCCCATCTTCCATAATTTCGTTTCCTGCCACACAAATTATAAGAAGCAATCAATGCATCTACATATTTTCAGCTATTCCTTGATCAACTTGAAAATGTTTTTCAGGGGAGTGATTCTATAAGGTTTGAAAAATTTCAAAGGTATATTTAAAACACCATAACTAGCACTATTACCATTGCTTGCAGCCACAATGAACTCGTATAGAAAAGTAGGGATCAATCGCTGTCTCACTATGGTGATTGGCATAGTGAAACATTTTTATTCATTTTCAAGCAATTTTACATAGAAATTTATGTAATTTGTTGAATGCAATTTTACATTGAAATGTATGTAAAAAAGGTCATTGGAGCTCGACAAATATATTATTTTTTTAAATCAAAAAACTATAACATAAGAAAAAAGATTACAGAAAAAAGCGCTTATTGAAATTTAATAAAAAAAAACCGTGATTTTGTTTTCAAAAAGTTGATGCAGTGAAATGCTCAAATGGTTCAACGGTCTTTTATTGTCCCGGTTCATTGTTTTGTTACGAGAAATCACTTTGTTAATCCTT